CCACCATAACCACCTCCATAACCACCACTCAGCTGCTGGCTAGCAGGACCCCCATAACTAGACTGGTTGGATAAGCCCATCCCTCCCATCATTTGGCTACCATAAGCACCACCACTTGCCCCTGCTGTAGAATTCAAAAAGAGTTCTACATAGCTGTGATCATAAGCCCCTCCACTTGTTCCTGCAGTAGAGTTCAAAAAGAGCTCCACATATCTGTGTTGCATATTAGCTTTATCTTTTGCCATAGCTGCCACGGCATCTTCATGAGTAGCAAATTCAACATCTGCCTCACCAGTAACTCTGCCATCTGGTCCAATTTCAATGTGTACTCTCATGGGATTAAGAGGGGAGAAAAAATTGTAAATATCATTCTCGGTGGCTCTGTAAGGTAACCCCCTCATGTGTACACAATGCCCTGTTGTGCTCTGGAAGGTAGAACCACCATCCCCATATCTGTGATCAGACATTCCTGAAAAACAGTAATTGAGGTCTCTTCCAAATCTATCAGACCCAAAGCCATACCCGTCGTTATAGCCACCATAGTCATCATAGCCTCCATACCCTCCACCATATGCCCCCCGCCTCATCCTCTCAAAACCAGCTCCTCTGCCAATGCTATTATACCCTCTGCCAGCTCCTGGCCTATCATAAGGACCTGGTCGCTGCATAGCCATGAGCTTTCGAGGGGGATCATAATGGGTTCGGACTTCAGCTCTGCTACTCTTGAAGATTTCAATGTACCTGTGCCCTATCCTTTCCTTGTGTTTCTTTAAGGCCTTTTCAGCTATCTCCTGTGAAGCAAACTGCACAAAAGCCTCCCCTGTGCTCCGCCCCTGAAAGTCCACCGGCAGTGTCATCCCATTTGGCACAATTTCCAACCCTGAAAAGAACTGAACAATCTCTTCCTTGCTACAGCCAAATGGGAGTCCTCTAAGCCGGACGAAGCCATCGTTGGCAGTATCAGGACTATTCGGACCTGTATGCTTCAACACCCAATCCATTTCAACACTGTTGGACTTGAATACTTCAACATATCTATGTCCCATGGTTTCTCTGTCCTTCTTCAAAGCCAATTTCACTTCATCTTCAGATTCAAGTTCAACAAATGCTTCACCACTTGGTCTGCCTTCTCTGGTGTAGATGAAACGAATACCTGATGTGCCATTTTGGATTTTACAATCAGAGAAGAAGCGCATCACTTCATCAGCTGAGCAGGACCAGGGTAGGCCCCTGACCTTCACCACGAACCCCTCCCTGCCTTCAGTGCTCAGCATCATGGTGACTCTTGGGCTCTTGGTGGCAAGCTTGGCTCAATGCAATTTCAATGTGGCTGAAAAGAAAATTAGAAGAGTACTGTCATGGAAAAACATTCACAACCTAGTAAAAGGAAAAAAGCAAACAATTAAATTACACTAGTAGCATTTAAAAAAAAATCCATATAAACAAAAAAGACTGCACCAAATTTTTAACTCATTCATTCAGCAATTATTTATTCAATGCCTAGTGTCAGATACCTTTAATGGTGATAATTTCTGAGTGTTAGGATTATAGAACTTTTTGTTTCAGGGGATTTTTTTTTCCCTTTGGATACCTCTGTATGTTCTTTCTGTGTATAAACATCATAGAAAATAAAAAGGCTTCAAAAATTAACAGAAAAAAATTAGTGAAAGTGGACGACAAAAAATATGGCCATATCTGATTACATAAAAATGAAAAACTTATTAAATGAAAAGATTAAAAAACAAAACATGAGAAGATTCCTGGAAGAAATAAATTAATATCCTTATTATATAGAGAATGTATGCCAATCAATAAAATCAGGGAAATATTAAGATAAACAGTAAAAAGACATTACTAGGAATTTACGCATCCAAACATATTTTTAGGTGCCAGGTCCAGTACTTATCTCTGGCATACAAGAATCAATAGCCCCAGAAAGAGTTTATGGTCCTACAGAGACAGTCTTCATTAAATATATAAGTGCAAATATACATTATACCTGCTATGACAGAACTCTGCAGATGTAAAGATAGTAGTATAAAGGAGGGACTAGTTGGTCAACTCTATCAGTTGGAGGCAGAATCGTTAAATGAAACAGATACCTAACCCGTTCAGAGATTCATAAATAATTTTTAAAAAATCTGACAGAGCATAAAATAGGAGGAGTCAAAATAAGAAAAGATGGCAAAGTGGAGATCAGATCCCAAAGGCCTGATTTGATATACAAATGCTAAGGGCCTCCTATGAGGTTTTAAACAGAGGAGTGATGTCATAAACCCTTTCAGACAGATCACCCAGGCAACAGTGTGGCAGTCACACAGGAGGGGGTCTAGGTGAAACGCAGGAGATTAGTCAGAATGGTTGCTTGGATATGTTAAGAGATTCAGTAAAGGAACAGCAGTGAGAAGGGAAAAGATAATATATTTAAAAAGTAGAATCTGTACGACTTGATAACAGATTAACTATAAGAGGAATACAGTTATAAGAAGATACAGGAGAGGAGTCTGGAAAATGTTCAAATTCCATCAATTGTCAGAAATCAAACTAAAACCAGAATTAATCACCATTTTTCACCCACCAAGATAATGGAAATTAAATAGTGACAGTTAATACTATTCAGGGGTTCACAAACCAATACACTGCTAGAGGAGTGAAAAGTAGTAACAGTATTCTGGAAAGCTATTTGGTAATATTTATCACACCTTCTGATAGTCCACTTCAGGTGACGTACCTTACAGAAATGAAATGAAATTCAGACCAATATTTGTGAAACTATATATTCTTTGAAAGGTATTAAGAAAAATAGAGGGGCTGGGGTTGTGGCTCAGTGGTAGAATACTTGCCTAGCATGTGTGAGGCAATGGGTTCCATCCCCAGCACCACATAAAAATAAAAATAAATAAAGGTATTGTGTGCATCCACAACTAAAAAATATCTTTAAAAAAAAGAAAAATAGAGTACTACACATTTAAGTAAAAGTTATAAAAAGTTATAAATATATTTAACATGAGAATAACTTATGTTACAATCTTAAATCATCCAAGATCACAGCTATTTTATAATCTCAACTATGTATAAAAAAATACTCACATACCCTTTGACTCTGCTAGGATTCCTTCCAGGAATCTGGTCAACAAAACTACTTACAAAAATGTCTGCTGTAGCACTGTAATGGTAGAAAGTAACCATCCATAAAATGGCAGAATGAATTATATTGTATCCTCAAAATGGAATGCTCTGCAGCCATTTAAATAAAAAATCTATTTTCCCTGACCTAGAAAGAAATCCAAAATGCATTAAAGAATATGCATAGTATGATGCTACTTATATTAAAATATAAGCATGTATGTAAATGTGTAAAACGACCTATGAGTATGTAATATAAACTTTTTTTGGAGGGAAATAACAACTGAAAAGTAGGAGGAATGAAATGGGACTTTCACTTTTTATACTATATAGTTCAATACAGTTTTAATTATTTAAACTCAGTGTACTGGAATTAAAAATAAAGTTAAAAATATGTATGAGGGATATGTCAAATGTTTATAGTGACTACTCTGAGGGGTAGGTTTATGGTTTTTTTTTTTCATTTTTAAAATTTTTTGTGTGCAATTTTCCACAGGGAGATTACTTTTACTTCAGAAAAAAAGTAACAAAACAATTCAAAATATTTGATTTTCTGGGATTTGGGATGGCAAATTTTATAAAATTTTCTTAACTTTGGATGTGGATAGCTTATCTGATGTGGTCTGGGAACATTCGGCCTCTTGGAAATAAAGTTCAAAGTGTAATAACTGCCATAAAACCACACTGAGGATTCAATTAAAACATTTACTAATTGCCCATTATGTTCCTGCAACTCTAGTAAAAAGAATCTTCCTACAAACCATCCTTAGGTCTCAGTGACAGAACATCTGAGGGATAACGAATCTTCCTAAAGCACTCTGCAGCTTAACAGCCCCTCTGTAGTGGCTGGAGGTCCCGCTTGCTCACAACTCCTGGGAAGGCCACCGGAACACTTGCCTGAAGTGGAACTAGGACTCCATTTGCGAATTAATATTTTTGTGTATTTATGTGTGTTATATACATACTTAAAAAAAACTTTATGACATAAGGTTGAGTAGTCACGAATTACGTTTATGTTTAAAATTTATGAAGTATACTGTTATTTTTCAAATGATAAAAATTCAACATGTAATTACTGTTATAAGCAGAAAGATTAACGTTATTCAAATACTCAAGTAAATTTATTGGGCGTCTCAGGCACGCAGCATTTGTCTAGATATGACTCTACTGACTTAATTCACTTGAGGCCTCTACCGACACACAATTAAACAGTAGACTGAGTGCCTAAACGGATGGACCAGCACTCAGACCACTGGTCTCAATATCTGTTTGTCCTAATTCAGGACCATAGTTTTCAAACCTTTTTCGCCTTACGGTTCCTCTTGGGGGTTCCCTGAGACTTGCCCAGACAAACAGATGTACAAAAACATACACACAGTCACAAACGTCCACCATTTCCCCACCAGGCGCAGAGAAGGCGGCTTCCCGGCACTGAGATGAGGGGGTGGGGGAAGGGGGAGCGGGGGGAGGGGAAAACAGAGATCGAAAAGGCGGAGGCGGCTCCCGGACCTCGCTTTGGTCTTCAACATCACCATCCCCGAATCCCCAGTTCCCACCCACACACCAACCTCTAACGATACCGGGTAATTTTCCTTCCTTCTTCCCTCAAACGGCTATAGCGAGACGGTAGACGACGACCAGAACTACTTCTGCTCACGTAAGCGTTTGGTCACGTGAGCGCCTACGTCATGTGAGATCTCGGTCACGTGAGCAACTCTCGGGCTAAACTCGGGATCACTAAGGTGCCGCACTTCCTTCTGGTATAGAAATAGGGCGGGCCAATATCAAGAAATAAAGAGTGTGATTGGTTAGCTGTGCGTCTTACGTGATTGATTATTGGTCGGCCTCTGGAAATAACCGTCTAGTTGCCTGAGAAACAATAACGTCATTATTTAACAACACATCCGTGATTGGTCCGCCCCTCAGGTTAAACTTAAAAGCCCAGGTTACCCCAGAAATCTGTATCGCATAATCACGGTGACAATGAAGCTGAAGAGCTGGGATCAGTGGCTGGGCTATGTGCTTGCGCTTCACTTCCCGACCCTAGTACTCTGGGGCGACTTTGGGGCCATGGCACTGGACAATGGCTTGGCGAGAACACCTACTATGGGCTGGCTGCATTGGGAGCGTTTCATGTGCAATGTTGACTGCCAGGAAGAGCCGGATTCATGCATCAGGTATCAACATTATTGGGTGCCCCCTTCCCTTCACTTTTCTGTACGTTTGTCTGGATGTGTTTGGGGAAAATGGAGGGACTCAATGTGAACATTTGAACCAGAGGGAGAGCTCCCCTACTATTGTTTGCTTTTTTTTTTTTTTAATCCCGAGCAAACTGCCCTAAACTTTCTCTGTGACCCTTCCTTGTTTAGAAGCCCAACCAGCAGCATCTGCTTCACTCCCTCTCATTTTCTCCCTGTCAGGTAACCCAGCTGGGGACTTTCTTCATTTACCGTATGGTTATATTCAGACCCTTCTGGTGATGTTCTTCTCTGTCTGCCTGGCGCTAGCCTTCAGCTAGCTCTAAGCACAACTGGAGTGGGTTGGAAGACTGGGAAACTAAGATTCTTGCCATTTCTTCTCCTTTGGGGGGCACGGGTTCCTTAGCTGTAACTGGAGAGTTAAAAAGACCATGGGGTCTCTGAAATCTACATCAGCCATCGCACTTGAGTGTGACATCAGACTGGAAAGTTGACCTGGTGGAACTTTGTACATCAAAGGTGAGAATTGAGGCTGGGTTAGACAAGTATTTAACCCATCTGACCTTCATCGTCCTTGTAAATTGGAATAACATTTCTTACCTCAAGGAGTTGACTCAGAGATATCAGTTAAGTTCCTGTCTCATATAGGTGAGCTTTCAGTGAAATAAACCCATTTAAAGTATATAACACACTGCCTGACCCCTCAAATGAGCAAATGGCAAAAATGGATATTAAGTCTGCAAATATGAGTATGTGTATTTTTCTGGAAAGGGAGTCTTTACATTTCTTAATATTCTCAAAGGGATTTATGGTCTAGAAAAGGTTAGTTGAAAATCACTGATATTGTTACCCATGATGCAGATGCTCCTCTAAAGGCAGTAGTTTCTACATCCATAAGTTATTCCTGTAAACGTATTTACAAATAAAGTCAGGATATTGGTAAGACATCACAAGTAACTGGCCCTTTAAGTTTAAGTCCTTTTAAAAAAAAAAGTTCCTGTTCATAGCAACTCAGTTCTTCAAATGTTGCACATCATCTGATTCTTTCCTAATTTTTTTTCTTTAGAACACTAATTATTGGGTCCAAATGTTAGGTAGATTGTTTAACCATGAACAGGGGAATATGGAAAGGATCTGCAATAAAGAGCAGTAACTTCCAGGGAGAATGTCAGATAACATCAAAAAGAGAGTCCTTGAGTCACAGAACTGGAGATAACAGGAAACCTTATCTATAAAGACAAGTATGGGGGTAATGGGGACTGGTATGTCAAACCTTCCCCAGTCCTAGTTAATTATAACCCTTTAAGGTAACTATTGTTTCAAAACCTTGGGTCTTCATGACCCTCCCCTTGTGGGAACCACAGGGCCTATAGGAAGGGTAATAAGTCTCTTAGGAGGTTATGCAAGGAGTTTGCTGAAGGCTGTTCAAAGAGTAAAAACCATTCTAGCATTCTAGAGGTGTGAAAAAACTGGGATAATAACAAAGAAATCCAAATTAAAAAAAAAAAACACCTTAGACTCTTTAAAAAATGACCATGAACTGTGCATCCTTATCTCACCCACTCTCTAATAATTAAACTCCTACCTATTCCTCTGAACAAGTGGCTGGAAATTCTTCTTGCGGGGGTGTAAGAAATGATTGCTGCAGAGCTAGACACAGTGGCACACACCTGTAATCCCAGTGGCTTGGGAGGCTAAGGCAGGAGTTCAAAGCCAACCTCAGCAAAAGCAAGGCACTAAGCAACTCAGTGAGATCCTGTCTCTAAATAAAATACCAAAAAAAAAAAAAAGAAGAAGAAATTAGTGCTGTAAGTTCCAGTAGTCCCCTCAGCTTCACTGGTCTCTGCAACACAAAGTTATGCTAATTCTGATAATTGTCACACTGTCCTTCCCAAAGATTTTACAAAAATGCACATCCCCAACAACAGTGTGTAAGAATGCCTGTTTCCCTCCACCCTGGCCAACACTATTTTTTTTATTCTTTTGAAACTTTCCAATCTGGTAGGTGTTTTTATTTGCACTTCTTTCTTTCTCTCTCCCTCTCTCCCTCCC